TTTATAGTATGGATTTTATATAATTTTTAAGAAGTTAATTTAAGTTTAATATTTTATATCTTTCTTTTTGCTTTAAAATGATTTTGGATTCATCATTATAAGAAAAGTGGAGAATCATTGAGTAGACGCTTTACGCTGCCACCATTATGTATTTGTGACAATTAATGTTAAAACTATATTTGTAATGATTTATATTAAAACTTTATTTCACATGTTGAAATTACAAAATTACAATCAAAATAAAAATGTGTCTCTTTATATAAAAAAATAGTTTTAAAGTAACTGAAAACATTTGCATAGTAACATTAAAATAAGAAAAATTTAAACATGAAAATTAAATTTAATCGCCTATAACTATTTATACTTCTTAACAATTTGAAAAATACATTAAATAATATATGAATATTTTAAATGAATGAATTGTGACTATGAATGGAACAATTATATCCCTTTAACATGAACAAAAAAAATGATAACATTATATAGTTGAATAATTGATATTGATGGCAAATTATTTTTTTCAAAAAAATAGTTAATTTGGAAATGAAAATGTTTATGCTGATTAAGGTTAAACATTGAATGAAATTGCAGAAGAATTAAATATTTACAATACAATTATTAAAAATGAGAATGATAAAATTATGATTATTAAATTATTTATCTAAATTTGAGAAATAATTCTGCTATAAAAATTTGGAAATCTGTTGATAATAATATAATTTAATGAGGATTTGAAATGGTGATGATATGAAATTATTGATATTGAAATTAATCTTAGTGAAAATGAAATATTATCGGAACAATTATGTTATGTGATTATTAATGAAAAAAGTGACATAACATGGGAATTTAGACATTTGGGAAATGGATGCTTATAAAGAGACATAGTTAATTTAGACGCAAAAACTAATATTAGCCAGATGTAGCCGTATTTGGGTTAAAGGACTAATGGTAGTGTAGGGATATGGATTACCTCATAGGCCATCCAAGGATGATAGCCTTGGCCACCTCTACGATAATGGTGACCTCGTTGGCCGTTCAAGCATAATGACGACCAATCTATAATGAACGTGATAACGATATTCCGGTGCGAGCATCGATGTTGCGGAGATATAGACCTACGTCAAATGGCCTATTAGCAAAAAATTTATATTTTTTCTTATTTATACGCATTTTCCTAATCGATAAAAAGTTACGAAGATATATTAACGAAGTTAATTTCCGAATATTTTTTGGTCAAGAAAATGGATGTATAAATAATATCGTTAAAAAAAAATTACCTCAGAAATTAAAATTAGGATTTATAGTATTGGATTCACAAAAAAGTGCATTGACTTTATTTATTGTTAATAGTAAATTATATAGAAAAGCATAAATCATAAATAAAAAGTTAAAAATTCAGACATAGTGATTTAACTACAACATATGATGTTGGCTATCAAGAACAAGACCTTAATTCCCAAAACTTTGTTGACCCAAAAATAGTTCTTACCAAAGGTAAATTGTTGATATAGATAAATTTATAAACCTTTTTAGTTGATAAAAAATCTCTTTATGAAAAACCTGAAATAAATTAATATACCTTAAAATTTATGGAAAATAAATTATCAATTTCATATTTAGAATCCTATTGCAACTTACATTTACTCAATATCTTCATACTTTTGGATTGTAGAGATTAAATTGATTTAAAAATAATATAGATAAATTAAAAACTACAATGAAATAATGTTAGTAATAATATATTTAACAGACTATCAAATATCATGAATATTAATGTTTTGTTAACTAGATGCCTTTAATCATATCTTGTAAATTAAGTTATTATTTTCTTATATTAAAATTATTTAAATCAGATTAATCTAAGGTATGATGATATCTATTGCCAGCTTTTCAGCAATATGTTATATATCATTTTTTTAAATTTTGGTCACTCCTATACCTAAAATGAATTATTTGTTATTCGATACTCGACTCGACTCGATTCGATTGTATTTTACGAATACGAATAACACAGTTATTCATAAGGAAAATTTATTATTCGTCGAATAATTTTTTATCTATTATTAGATCAAATTATTCGAGATTATTCGATTAAAATAATAATATTGAAAAATAATCATATACAGGGTTTCCCATTCAAAAAAGGTAAAGTCCCAATCAAAAAAGGAAAAGTTTCAATCATAAAAGGAAAAGGTCGGATAAAAAAAGGAAAAGGGTCAATCATAAAAGAAAAGGTTCAATCATAAAAGAAAAGGTTCAATCAAAAAAGGAAAATTCCCTAAAAGAAAGGAAAATGTCCGATCAAAAAAGGAAAAGTGTTAAACAAAAAAGGATATGGTCCAATCAAAAAAGGATATGGTCCAATGAAAAAAGGAAAAGTGTCAATCGAAAAAAGAAAATTTTCATAAGGAAAGTAGAAGTGTCAATCAAAAAAGGAAAATCGTAAATCATACCCATCAGAACCAAGAATGAAGACTTTCAGTCAAACGATATTAAAATTAGCTTTTATTTGATACATATCAAAAAAATTTATTTTTCACTCCCCTCCCCTCCGAAGTCATGCCCATCCAGACCAAGAATGAAGACTTTCAGTCAAACGATATTAAAATTAGCTTTTATTTTATACCCATATCGATATTTTGTGTTGATAAAAATATTTCTGACCCCCCAAGACCTAGACCCGCCCATTATGGGGGAGAGATTGACGTCCATTTGAATAGATCTTTTGATTAGCTATCGATTGATACCCTATATTAGACATATCTTATTTCATAAGGCCAAAAAAACAACATTGAAAATTAATGAATAACAATAAAATTAAAAAACAAAACGAAACGAAACGAAACGCGCGGAAAACGCTTTTAAAATAAGATTCTTCTATATCATGGTTCAAACGTGATAATGCCGTATAGTTCTTTATCCTTTAAAAAATTGAAATTTTAAAGGGATCCCTTTAAATCCCGTGAAGATCCCGGATAGTTATGATCCCTTTAAAAATTACGACATATGTATGTTGAAAAAAAAAACCTAAAGAATTGTTAAAAAAATGGACCTAAATTTATAAATTATTTTTAAAAATACAAAAGAATTATCAAAAATGGGAAGAAAAAAAATTGAGAAAAGATACAAATAAAGTAAAGAAATCGCAAAAAGTTAGAAATACAAGGAATGACAAAAATTAATAAAAATTTAAGAAAAATTTAAGAAAAATTGAAAAATTTATAATTTTTTTTTTAAAAAAAAATTACGGTTTTCTTTTTTTTGATTGACACTTTTCCTTTTCTTTTGGGAATTTTCCTTATTCGATTGACACTTTTCCTTTTTGGATTGGACCTTTTCCTTTTTTGTTTGACACTTTTCCTTTTTTGATTGAACCTTTTCCTTTTATGATTGACCCTGTTCCTTTTTTGATCGGTCCTTTTCCTTTTATGATTGAAACTTTTCCTTTTTTGATTGGGACTTTTCCATTTTTGAATAGGAAATCCTGTATTATTAGTAGGAATTATTTGCAATTATTCCTATTTAATTAAATTTCCTAGTGGAATAATGAAGAAACATTTTATATTTCTAAAATTGTTGTTAACAGCAGTTTTTATTTGAATAACTTCATAATATAAAATTAACTTCCGATAATTGTTTTATAATGGACGAAGAAAGTATTTATTTTTATATGCAATTTATAACACATATACAATTATAATAAACTAAACTAGTAGCCATCCCGTCAAGAATGACAGGTGAACCAGATATTTCTCCGTCGTTTGAAGATGGAGAAATCATAAATTTTACTTCTTGCAAAAACTTTTTGTTTAAAAAATTTGTTGTTGGTATATTTGTCTTCCACATGATATGAATATTATATTGATTTTACTACATTATATATAAAAATACTATATATATATATATGCTTCTATATTATCTTACTAATAAAATATGTTTGTCTTTTATCCGTAGTTAAATTTTACAAAATAAATTTAATATTCTATCTTTTTTAATTTATGGTTAAATATTTGTATTTTTGTAGGTATACACTCCAAATAATTATAGTTGTTAATTTTTTAAAGATAATTTTTGATATATAAAATAAAAATAAGATGGCAATAAATTAGGAAATTTAGAATGATTGAGAAAAGAAAAAATATAAAGAAATAAATTATAATGTATATCTTATTTTAAAGGTTACTTAGAAACTTTAAAGTCAAACACACAAAAATCCCTAGCAAGCTTCAAATTTAAAACAATTGCTCATTTTTTTATTAAATTTTTTTATTGAATTTATTATGTTGAAATTTATATATTATAACGATATTATTTTTTTAAATAGAGATTAGAAAAATAAATTACTCTTAATGAGCTCAAGCACTTTGGCCCCCATAATGTTCTTAATTAATTTATCAAAATTAATATAATTTTAAAAACTTATGAACCATTTGGAAAATATTTATACCAATTTCTAACAGACTTCTTGAGATTTTCTTGTGGTTCTTCAGGGTTTCTAGATAGGTGGTCCATTTTTTTGTCTGAATGATATATAGTACTTGATTTGGCTATATTTCTAGAAGAAGAACTGACTTATATTTGTCCTTAATTTTTTTTAAATTACTTTAAACTTGTCAAATTTATGTATTTTGGCAAAATTTTTGCCATTAAAATATCCATTACGAATTTTAACATTTTATTAAATCTTATTTGGTGGCAATTATTTTTATTTAAAAAAATGATATTCATGTTATATATACTAAATTTATAATATAGTCATTTTTGAGTTGATGATTTAAAAAAAGGATTAATTCAAATTTTAAAATATATCCAAATTTATTTTAAAATGTGGGAAAAATTGTATAAGCAATACAAATTAATCTAAAGTAAATATAATAATTGGTGTTATAATGTAATGTATATAAAATGGTATGAAAAAGATATCATTATAAGTAGTCTATATATTTATTGATTGCAATATGCTTAAAAATAGGATTAATAAAAAGAAATGTGCATAAAAACTAGACAAATACAATCAACTAAAATATACTTTTAGTAAAAAATATAAAATAGCAACATTTGTAATTAATCTTCAATCAATAACATTAACAAAATGGGATCCAGAATTTAATGTAAACGTTTTAATTCAAATTTTTATATATTTTCATCATCATATTTAAAGAGGGGACACAATTGCCAGTAAAATGGAGCTCCATACTTAGAATACCCCATTATCGGGGTATTGAGAAATGTGGCAACACTTCGCATTTCAATATCCGTTACCCATTCAGCATTCTTATTTGCCTTTTCTATTATATACTGTTGCACATCATCTTCACATGTATTTTGACCTTGAGTTATATCTAATATATTTTTTGCAGCATCAGTAAGACCATATGTTATCTAATCAAACCGTAGAGCCTGTAATCTCCATACTTATAGATCTAATTATTATTTTTTTAAATTTAAATATATTACTATTTATAAAAACCAATCATGTTTTAAAAAAAATAATGCTCTGAATTAATATAGGATATAATCCTTAAAATTTAAGGTAAAGAAAGAAACAAAACCATATCCTATGAATATTAGTAAAATAAAATACAACCATAATTTATAAAATATGAATCTATATAATCAGGCAAATATTTTTATGATTTTTAAATTACTGATAAAAACAATTCCCATCTGGTTCAATTGTTTCCAACCATGATGGAGCAGTTCCTTTCTATATTTTTGGGGACTTTCATTTTTGCTGACACTAAATTTAAGCGAGATGCATGATATATTCTCCAAATATTGGTAGTTGGATTGTAAAAATGTTTAAATGTACGTTAAATGATTTTAACGAATGGGTCATCTATAGCTTTAAATATTTAAAAAAGTAAAATCACGATTTTTAAGAATTACAATTAACTCTAAATAGTTACAAAATTATAATTTTTTAACTTTGAATCTGAGGGTACAAAGTCTACTAAGTCCACTTGATGATCTTTCAAAATGTGTAAAGAAGATTTTTTTATCATCTAATTAAAAAGGTTTATAAATTTGTCTATATCAACAATTTACCTTTGGTAAAAGTTCTGGGAATTAAGGTCTTGTTTTTGTTAGCCAACATCATATGTTATAGTTAAATAACTGTCATTTTTAACTTTTTATTTATGATTTATGCTTTTCTATATAATTTACTATTAAATAAAGTCAATGTACATTTTGGGACTGTAAATCCTAATTTAATTTTTGAGGCAATTGAATTTCTTTCACAATATTATTTATACATTCATTTTCTTGACCAAAAAATATTGGGTAATTAACTTCGTTAATATATCTTCGTAACTTTTTATCGACTCGGAAAATGCGTATAAATAAGAAAAAATATAGCTTTTATTTCTTGCTAATAGGCCATTTGGCGTAAGCGAAATGATACTCCGGTGGGAGATCAAGCATACAATGGAATTGATAAGATAACTCCGATGGGATATCTGTCAATATTGATATTCCGCTAAGAGATTAATCAACAATGGAATCGATATGGGCACTCTGGTGGAGGGGAGAGATCCTGCGAGATTGATACTCCGGTGGGAGATCAATCAACAAGGAAAGCGAATATTTATGATCTTTGAAGAGATTAAAAATTGATTGGGAGGAGGGAGAATGAGAAACTTTCCCAAGATACAGCATCTGCATGGCAGAATATTTATTGGATGAAAATCCCTCTCAAAAATTAATACCTACTCTTCTAAAAAATTTGCCGTCTTCGGCGACGATATTTCTATATTACTAATTATACCTTTTTAATTATAATATAGCCCCTTCATAAATTTAAAAAATAATGATTTAAATTACCAATGCTTAGCTAACAACTATCAAAATATTTGTGAACGTTAAAAAGTTATTTTTTAGAACAAATTAAAAGGATGGCAGAAACTGATTCAGAAATTGTTTTATTTAAAAATAATCTCTATTATTGTCTGCAATATACAAATTGATCGATGTTTATCAATACCTTTAATGGTTTATGATAAAAGTAATAGTTTTTTATAGCAGTACATTTTGCCCTATTTCATTTAAAAATTTAATCTATAACCCCCCCCCCCCCCAATAAATTTATCCTATCCCTAGCTTACCCCCTACACCCCTCAAAAATATTTTGGATGCAAACTGTTCCTACCTCGACCGTTAATGTAGAAGCTGTTAAGATATCAAACAATCGAACTGACTCGTTGGGCCTGGAAGATGATCACCTATGATTTTAGCTTGGAAACAGACTGGATCGTGAGAATCTTATAGCCGAAGCATTATCTAGCGTTACCTTTCAATTAATGAAGGGGAAATGTAGTAATGGGGAAATTTCATGTATGATTGCTTTATAATACATATATAGTTAATATTGCTATGATGGTAATATATGGTGATATATTATTATATATTATGAATTGGTACATTCGTTGATTAGATATGTTATATGTATGTATAATATCGGATGGAAATGTTAAATTGGGTAGAAAGATCTCCCCTGGCAGTGATTATTTTATATCAGATAAAATGACCCCATTAGAATCATTATCAAATTTAAATACGGAAAGTTACATCATGAAATGAAAATAGCAAGAGGATTATTAGCTGTAGAAGTTAAAGAAACATAATTTTGAAATACTCGTATTGTATAAAAAAAATATCATCTTGCAATTAAAGCTGAATGGTACTCAATAGCCATCATCATGTATCAACGGCTTTTGCTGGGGACTCATTTTCTACACTAAAGAGAGTTATATCGAGCACTAGAAAATCGATGAAAAATCGACGATCGACTTAAACAAAATTTTGTATTACTGGCTTAAGGAAAAAAATACAGAATTCAGCTTTTAATTCATTTATGTTATTATTTAAAAATCGTCGTTTACAAATTTTTAATAAAAATAGCTAAAAATTTCTATAAGTGCCTAACTATTTGTTTTATTTAAAAAAAATATTGGATATCCCCCCAAGGAAATTCCTGACCTCGGCCCTGAAACCCTAACACACCTTAGTCTCGATATCTGATTGTAAACCAAGCAGATCACTACACATCTGTATATTATATAAATGCTGTTTTAATTTAATAATGAGCTAATATTAACACAAATGTAATTTTAATATTTGAATATCACAAACTTACCTTTATTTTAATTATAGAAGAGAAATAATAACAATAAATTATCAAAATTATCATCTAAGTTTTGAGGAAAATAAAATAGTAATTTTTTAATACCAAAAATTACCAATTTATGTTTATGCTGAATATAAATAGTATGTCTTTCTTATAAATGACGATATAAATGAGGTTTCGAGTATATTTAGATGAGCTAGTTAAATACATTTCAACATATGTGTAACCAATGTCTATAAAATTAGAGTAACATCATCCATCATTGGAGTTTTGAATATCCGGGAACATTGATGCCACAAATAGATTTTTTCTTTTTGCAAGGTGGAGCCATAAGCATAGGAACTCGATTTTTTAAAATCATGTTTATCTGTAATATAGTTATACATATCCAAATGATATTTTTTTTTTACCGTGCATGGGGGTTGCAACCATGGTTCACCATCTATTTGCATTGGAAATCGACGACTAGTTCTTAAATATTATAATGAATATCGAGATTTTAATAATTATAATAATAAAATATGCTAATATCATTTAAGCAAAAGGTGGGATTTCCTTTTGATCGAGATATTATTTAATACTTTAGACTAAATTGTTATATACCTAAGATTTATTAGTATATAACAGAAAAAATATTTTATTGAATTCGTCATCTGGAAGACTTCGGAGAAACAACGCGGCCTTTTCTCCATTGGAGATCTTGTTAGTGTCGAAGAAATTTTGCAATTTCTCTATATAAGCGCTGTCATCGCTACTAAATTTAGTGAAATCCAGCTTGACGAATTCGGTCATATATGTGGAATTATTCAATGCATCCATCGTAAAAGAATTATAATCGATAAAAGCGTAATCTTATAATAGTGGTAAATATCTACTGACTTTATAATAATTTGAGAACCTTGCGCTAAACGTCGCCCTGAGCTTCTCAGACCCGCTTTAACCTGGCCTGCGTGAATCGCACTTTCTAAACCAATAACTTCAATTAATTGGTCTCCTATATCTATATTATAAAAAAGATATAAATATTATATCCACATATAAATTAAGTATATTTAAGATTACATTGATAAAATTTGATAGTCACTATTTGAAAAATTATAATCTGGTGAGCCTGAACACTTAACGACGTGTAAGATTTCATAATTGGAATTATAGAAATTTCCGTAAATTACGTAAATATTTTTTTTTTCAAAGCTAAATTTTATCAATATCACTAATTCTTTTGTTCTAATAAATAGTTAATATATACAATACCTTGTACTAAATGATATAGTTAATATATACAATTATACCTTGTACTAAATGTGATAAATCCCAGCCAGTCGCGGACATTTGTTCTCCCTTATCATTTTTATTATCAAAGCAATTGGCCAGTATGTTTTTCCCAGATGTCAAATTATCGCCCCATAAATTAGAGCCTCCATATATGCTTGGTATATTTAAAATAGCAATTCCTTCTAATGATGGACCTTTAGACAAATCCAATTCATCTCCATCGACCTATTATGATGTAAGTAGTATTATGTTATGCATGAAAATAATGCATTTAAAGAATTGATGTTTTGCCCAGGGATCCAGTAACGAATATCGGTTCAGGCTTAGATACAAATACCGGTTCATGGTTCAGATTTATCGTAAAAAATAATAATGTTTGAATTTTAAAAAACCGAGTCAGACCTTTTTGTACAAGCTTTTAAGAATTATGTAAAAAATATTTTTTAAGTTGTATTCTATTCTCTTAAAAAAATATTGAATCGTAAATTTAAATATTTTCAAGATTTTATTTTGTAAAATTATGTCCATAAGTAGGAAAAATAAATTTTAGAGCTGAGAATTCTTTAGGCTAACTTGGATAGCATTTTTAAAGGTTCAGATGACAAATAAAAAGGTTCAGATTAGGTAAATAATAGCGGTTAATACTGGGTTAACGGGTCATTTTGAATCTATGGTATTGTCTTTTAAAAATAATTTTATCCATGATATTTTATTTTTAATTTTTTATATGAATGTTTTTTTTATTTATTTAAACAGGCGCGAATGCAGATAGTCCCCCAAGCGAAAATCAGATGGCAGCAAAATTTTAAGCATATTTTTGTTTTATTAATATTAATTATGTTTTATATTCATTCCTAACTTCTTTCGCATATATTTTTCAATTTGCATATATTTAACACATTCACAGCAAAATACGATACTAATTTATTCAATGAATTAATATCGATTTCAAATTTTTCTGTTCTGGTGTAATACCATTATAAAATTTTCCACCAAATATTTTAAACTTTTCACTGCAAAGCTAAAGTAAGAAATTTCAAAAAATTAATATTTATTGTTTAAAATTTATTTAGAGAATAGATATAAGGAGTTTTTCTTTACTAGTGTTGATGAAAATTAAAAACCTTCATAACGAGTGAGCAATTTAAAGGGCTTCCGGCCTTTATATAAAGGAAATATCTAATAGCTAGCTATATATGTGCACTGTGTTGCTCATTGAACTTATCAATCTTTGGTTCTGGTATCTACCATTGATATCAAATTTTTTCAATTAAAATTTTTAGTTATCACCTTTTTTTTTGGGGGGGGGGCATATTATTATTATTTATTTTTTTATGTAACTTTATATATATTTTTTTTAATATTAATAAGGGATTGGCTTTTATGATTGGTTATTTTTTTTGTATTAATATTATAAATAGCTATGTTTTAGAAATTTTTTAAGATAATTTTTTAAAATATTTATGTGAATAAATAGAGTTCCTAGACAAACATAATATTTTATAATTTATTTTTAAAAGAAATATTATATAAGTTATATATAGAAAACAAAAATTTATGCAGTGTTATTCATTAAATTGACGCAGTTTTTGAAAATATTATTCATGATTTGAATGAATAGAGCATAGCCAATAGGGTTGTTAAAAACCCGATTCAGATTTTTAAAACGCCCGATTAAGATTTTAGCCAAAATAATACTATGTATAAGACTAGAGATTTGACTTTCTGGCTATCCTCCATTCACATCTTTAGACTAGGGTTAGGGTTAGGAACCTGCGTTGATTTAATGAATAAAACTGCGCCAATTTTTATTTTCTATATAACTTATATAATATATATTTTTTTTAAATAAAACGGTTTTATGTATGTAGAACTCTCTATATATTCACAAAATTTAGAAAAAATATTTTAAAAAGTCCCGATTCAGGCTTTTCAACAAACTTCCGAACATGCCAAAGGTATTGGTAACGATTGGTATGAACACTGTTGGTAAGGCAAGCATATGTTTTAAAAAAGACTTCTGCCTTTTCGATGGCAGAAAATAAGAGGTTAAACTTTGCTGCAAAATCGACATAAATGTGGTCCCAGGTCAGCGGGAGACCGTTAGTCTAGGAAATGAAGAATATACCATCCGAGAGTATGGCGTTTTCGTTTGAAAGGCCCACTAGTGAAAGCGCAAATATGATAAACGAATCAATTGGGTGCACTTGTTTTGGAATATGCATGTGCACATGACAAGCGAGGAGATATAAAAAATTGTTATGTTAAAAAAATATATAAAAAAACAAAGCAGCCATGAACATTAGACATGATAAAATACAACTATGCAAGGTGGCCGAGCATTAACTATTATTTTTCCAAATAAGAAGTACAAAATATTGATAAAATGTTTTCGTTTAAATTTTTATAATAATCATAATACATATATAATGTTAAATCAGAAGAATAAAACAAATGCCTTCCCATATAAATTTTTTTTAACCCACACCCGTTAAATTTTTTTAACCCATCCAATGGTTATTTAAATTTTTTAACTCGCCATCTAGCTCGTATAGATGGGCGTGGGTGGATCAGTTCAGATTTCTATTTGGCGATGTCAGCCACCCAAGTTAAAATTATTCTCAACTATAAAACATTTCCTCCTACAAATATGATAGAAAACAATCCTAAAAATAGAAAATAATTTAAATAATTATTTTTATTTGTTTAATTTATAAATCAGGTTTTAGTTATATTTATTTGTATGTGCATAGATAATAAAATAAAAATTAATTTCTCTATATATAAAGTTTGTAGATAAAATTTTTAAAATATTTCCTTCTCTATACATAATTCTAAATGGTTAGTATAAGAAAAAATTCAAACCTGTTTTTAAAGGTTCACACTCAACCGATTTTAATTTTTTACGAACCGAGTCTGAACCTAAAACCGCCATTTTTTTACCACTGAAAAAGAACCTGAACCTATGTTTGTAACGATCCGGTACTCTGGATAATTATCTATTTGATTTCAGGGAGGGGAGCTCCATGTCTAATATCAAATTAGTTTAAGCAAAAAATATGATCTAAAGTTTTTGTCCATGCTTGGGCAGATACTAAATTACCACGCCAATTGATAAAACAATTTTATTTGTATATATAGTTTTTTTCTAAACCATATGGATACTGGTGAGTTATAAAATCAAACACTTCACACTTTGATCTGGCCCAAGCTGAAGCTTTAAAAAAAACAAATACTCCGATCTTCAAAATATTTTTATGCCCATAGTTACCAAACCATGGGAATCTCTGAGAACGAGTCTTTCCAATTGATCAAAAGCCTCGGAAATAGACACCGGAGATCCCAAGAGGTTTTATATACGACAGAGGATCTCTTAGAAATATGTCGATCTAACTAAGTATCCACTCCCCCCTTGGATGAACTCAAACTTTCTTTTTTTAAAAAAATATTTATGTAGTCTCTTAATTTTCTATTTAGACACCTTTTCGGTCACTTTTTAGAAATTTATTTTTGGTTATCCTTATTAAGAAATAATTTATATGTTTTTTTATATTGAATGTTTCCCGAGATATAAATATGTATATTACAAACTATTTTAATTGAACGATAAAACAATAATTAAATTAAAAAAATTTCTTTTGCTAAATATTATAATAATATAATAAAAATTGTATTATTATTACCATAATTTTTATATGTTCATGCAAATCTTTGCAAGATGAAAAAAACGTTTCGCTAGTTCCGAGTTCAAAATAACACAACTTATTTCTCATTCTAAATTTTAGAAAAACATTTTTTAATATATAAAAAATATATAAAATTACCGACTACTAAATTTTTCTGGATGTTTTTCTCTCATGACATGAAATTTATGAGCAATTGATGCGTCCTAATAAATTATTTAAATGTAAAATATCCTTATAAAGTAATTATTTATATTTATTAAACTTACTTTATCATACCATATCTTATAAATATTTAAAGTGAAATAAAAAAGATTTACAAAACTCTTGTACATGGCGTTACTTCTATCAATTGAGTTGGATTTATTTACATTAAAAAAACCATTGGCATGGATTTTTTTAGAGTTAGAAACCTTTTAAATAACCAAGCGACGAATGATAAACTTTTAATAGTAAGAAAATTTAATGCAAGTTACCACTCCAATTGAGAAATAATTGTTAAATATATTGCTTGGAACAGGATCACCAAATTCTTTAGTATCTAGAGAATCTGAAGAAATTTCGATTTCTGAAAAAGTAATGAACCATCTATCCATCATCACTATAGAAGCCTTCTCTACGTTTTTTAAAATATCCATGATATTTTCACCTTCATATCCTACATTACAAAAATAAAAAAATAACATAGATTTAACACTGGGAAAAATTAAAAATAACCTCCACCCCATCTAAGACATCTGGCTAAATCGTTACCAGTTCCCAAAGGTAGAATAGATATCGGAGGTCTACATTTAAAATCGACTTTATCTTAAAATAAAACATTTCATAGCTGATTATTAGCTATGATGAAGTCATTTACTGATATGATTTAGATTTTAAAAAAATAAAGGACATAAAATTATTATGTAAGAAATGATACTATGACATATATAAATATACCCATAGTTTCAAGTATCCAACCAACAGTCCCATCACCCCCACAACATAATATACGACAGGGATATACATCTTTAAAAAACTGCAACCTAGCAAATAAAATAGAACAAAATATAAAATTACAATTAAAATTGTATACCCAACTATGGGCCCCCCATTGTTTATATTAAATACTTGTCTAGGATTGAGGAGATATTGAAATTTACGCATAATTCTAAGGTAAAAAATAATATAGTAAATTCATTAATAACATTTTTACCTGGTACCTTGTCTACCACCGCTCTTGTGGTTTATCAAAACTAACAGGGGATGAGTGCCCAGTAAAGGGTTTATTTGGAATGATATCTTAAAATAAAATAAAAAAATATTAATTTATAAGAAAAATTAAATGTAAACATTGGCTATTGATGTTGTATCAATTTCTCTATTTTTTTCTTCTCCAGATTTTTTGCGTTTTTTGGATAAATCTGGTCTTGAAGTGTTTTTGTAATTTTTGGAAGATCTTCCCTGAATATAAATTAATTATTTTATAAAAAACTTCTATAAATTTTTTTTAAATAATAAACAATGTAACAGGTGTAAATTTTCAATGAAAGGGTCAAAATTGTATACATGTTTCTTTATTTATACAAAAACGTTAAATGTTTATATTAACTTAACTAGATAATTCCGTCAAAATTTGCTAAAATAGGCAATTTAAGTTAAATTTTATATTTTTTTTTAAAAAAATTTTTCGATTATGGTCTTTTTAATGTAAAATTTAAAATCTCTATTTTTCAAAAAAAAATTTTCTCAAAATTTTTGTTCAAAATGAATAGATTTTATAAAATAGCTCACCAAAACTTCGGGTCTAATACATGTCGGTGGTAAAATATGATCACGAAGTTCGCCAAAATTACACTCGGGTTTTATATGAGGTACACATTTGTTGTGATACTTTCATTTAAAAAATTGAAATGTAAGGTATATTTATAAATTTACAGCTCAATTTAATAATAGTGCAATAACTCCTTATAAAATCCATTAATCCTTCATAGCACAGGTGAAAAACCAATAACACGAAAGTATAGGTGGGGTTTTTTCGAACCCTAATTTAGATAGGCTATATATTAGAATTAAATTTATTTTTAGCTTTCATATATTAATATATTAAATATACTCTAATTTAGTGAACTGTTATTTTAAAATTTTATAACAGCCTTTGCCAAGAGAGTCAAAAAAGTGACAAATTATTTTAAAATGTCACGTATGATTAAAATGATTATGTAGAATGTTTATCTAAGGTTCAAATATTAATATAATATAATTTTTAATTAAAAATGATGAAAAAAAATCAAAATTAATTTTACTCAAAGATCCAGACAAAAATATCGAAGGAATTCTGAGTATAAAATTTTTAAATTAAAGGGTCTGCATCCCACGTGTGCTATGAAAAGTTAAAAGTTTATTTATCATGTATACATTGATATTAATATATAATATTGGCATAATTATTTCATTCTTTTTCTGTTTTATTTATTTTATGATTAATTTATGCATTATTAAAAGATAAATGAAAATTTATAGATAAAGAAGAAAATGGATAATAAAATTATTACAGATCCTTGGCACCAGCAACAATGCAAACCGGTAGTTCCGTTTTTAATGGATTTTTTGCATTTATCACATTTAAAAGGACAATTTCCTTCGACCCAATGATGATCCATTTCCTTAATTATTTCATGATTATCAACGAGATTATAGGAAAACATTTTTAAATGATAAATATAATATTTATTTATAGATATTAATCGTTTTATTAATATGTAATTTAAAAGAATAACTTGGTCAATTTTAGAAGTTTTAACATATGTTTGAATGCAGGATGGAGGCGCCTTTTTAACGCATCGTTCGTGTACAGTATAATGGCAAACTGTTCAATAAATTTGTTTAACTTTTTTTATTATATTTAAAGTTATAGTATGTATATTATTATAATATTTTCATCGTTTTTATATTTCCATATATTATATCTTTTATATTGATAAATTTTATGAAAATATTCTTAATTTAGCAGGAACGAAGAAAATAAAAACACTGGAAAACTTTATTTTTTCGTCCTACTTTTTAAAATATGTTAATTAGATAATGAATCAAGGCATTTTTAGTCCTGAGTCACAAAGAAAAATTTAAATATTCATCTTTTCGAGGAATTTGATTATTTTTTTTAATGGTTTATACCTCGCTATATATATCTATATTTGACATGGAAACTTACATGTACATATTAGTCCTTGACGTCCAAAATGCACCAAAACATTTAAACAAAGATTACAAAAGGATTGTCTTTTGAAATGTTTGAGAGTCCATACGTGAATGCCATCATCTTTAATACTAGTATCGGCCTTTAAAAAGTTTAGTTAAGTAAAAATATAATTCAGATTAAAATTAATTGTATAGATTAAAACATGGAAATTGGGTAATAAAAAAAATACCTGGTCTAATCCTAACAAAACTAATAGTGGTATAACTGTTAATCCTCCTTTAATCCATTCTTCTAATGTAACGGCGCCGTCTGAATCATAATCAATTTCTAACATCATATCGCGTAAAATCTGTGTATTAAATGTCAAATAAAAATACTTAAATAAAGATTTAATTTGAAACCCAATAAACCTTTTATTTAAACCTGAAACAATTCAAAAGAAAAAAATTATAACATGTCAAAGGGTGAATTTCTTATATAATAAAGAATTAAAACTATATTTTAGCGATTATAAAATATTCACCGGCCGTAATTCTGCTATATCCCATCCAAGATATTGAGCGACATTCATCATTTGATTAATGATTAAATCTATTTCCTAAAGAATTTCGAATACTAATTTAAGAAATGAATTCTTATATTTTACTGAGCTGTCTAAAACTCCATTGTCATCAACATCGTATAGTCGAAACATAACTGAACATTAAATATTATTAAAATTTGATAAAATTAATAGATATTACATTCCAACTTTTCCTTTGGACTTCCCCCTTCCAATAAACTCAGATAGCACACAATATCTTTGAGGGCTATTTTACATTCTGATATATCTAAGATAGGCTGTTTGGCTTTCAATAAATCGGTCTTAACTGGATCCAGAAGTGGGTGGTGACTAAAAAAACTTTTGGTACGTAGATTAAACAAAAGTTCTGGTTTATCTTTGCCATCTATATTTTCTCGCGAACCGAATGTGTTTTGTCCAATGACCTTGAGTGTGTTAAGTTTTGACGTAACTTTTTCTAATATATCCTCTGAGTTGAAATATAAAATTTTGAATAGGCAAAAAAATAATTAGTTTGTAATTAGTTGTGCATATAATGACAGGAGCCAATTTTAAAAATAATTTGTATACTATTTTTCTAAAATTAACCCTAATTTAGAAAAATGAAGTATTAAATTTACAGATATTATATTTTTATAAATTTTTGCATTATAATATAAAATGAAAATTTGATAAACTTGCACCGTCTTTCAAAGTATTTTTTATAATATATGCATAATGTGTAAAAAATTTTTGATAATAAAGTTTATATTAATTATTATACATATAAAAAAAAACATTTAAAAAATAAATAAATATTGTTATTTTAAATTTTTTTTTTTTTAAATGGTATTTTAAAAAAAATAGGAACGCTTTTGAACATAAAGAAAAAATTTTTAAAGCTGAACTCTCGAGTAATTTTTTTATAAATATATATAATATTTTTTTAAAAATAGCACTGCCTCTTTTTATATTCTATATATTACAGTTAATGTGAAAATTTAACTAGTTTGCAACCATTCTTAATTGTTTAATAGTTTATAAATTAGTATTATCAATAATTTTTAATGTTAAAATTATGACATAATTTTTTTAGAGGCCTGCAGAGTTCAAAATTTCAGGCCAGGCCCGGATTTAAATTTTTTTCCAATTTCAAACCTAGTTCAGAGTTTTCTTGGAAATTTTTTGGCCCTGCCAGGATTTTTACCTTTGATTATTTTATAATCCAGCCCAGAATTTTTTTCCAAATATAATAATATATTGTACTATGATTTTTTACAATTTATTTTGTCTACTATTTTTCCGATTTATATATAATAATATTTAATAATACATTTCGAAAGAATATGTTTTAATTTATAACTAATAACATAGGCTAAGGTTAGTCTGTATAGGATCTTTATTATATGGAATTGGATAATATTTTAAAAAAATTTAATAAAATATTGAAATTTAGAAATAATAATTACAACTTTATTTTATCTTAAATAAGGCATTAAAATGAATTTAAAAATTAAATTGATTTGTAAGCAGTCATTTAATAAATTGCATTTATATATATATATATAAATATCATTAAATAAATAAAATCGAATTAAATTCATAAATCTTGCAAATGATAATTTTTTTTATTCTATATTTTTAACTAGCAGATATTTTTCGATATTTGTCCTTTTCTCTAAAATATTTATAGAAATGTGGACAAAACAATTTTAAATGGTATTGCGTGCAAATAATTGCTTTTATAGTTTTAAACTCTACTATTGCTCTCATTTGTCTATTGACTATTGATTAAAGAAAAAATATTTTCAACGTTAGCATTATGTGCTGGTATAGGAAAAATGAAACATGTAACAGTTCACTATATTCGAGTTTGAAATATCATAGAAATAATGACCATTTTCGATGAAGTGGAAGTTTTGTATATTCAACACCCCATATTATTTGCAATAAATCATTTAAAGTTATAAAATTGGTCAAACAACTTTCATTTAAAGAAACAATTTTTATTTTTCAAAAATATAGACTTTTCTAAATCTAACTATTTGACATTTTAATTTCCATCCATTGGAAACATTCCAATTCTTATAGGGATTCTGATCAAAGATCAACATATTAAATGCAATGTCTATATAAATATCTTTTAATGCATCTACTTGGATTTGTTGTTCATTTTTATTATTTGTTTCAAATATTGCTTTTACTTTTAATGGAAAAATATTTCATTTATTCTTTCGATTAACATATATTTTAATGATTTTATATGGTTCCACATGTCAATAACTGAATTATTCTGGTTATATATCCCATAATTTTTTTTGATGCAACGAGTAACGCGTTTCATTTTTGAAGTAACGGTTACAACACTAATATATTTACATATTTAGAATTCTTATTAAATTTTCAATTTAATAATATACGATATATAATATTTAAAATAATATTTTTAAATGAATTTAAAATAATATTTTTAAATGAATTTAAAATAATTTTTATAAATTCGGAATCACCAACAAATTTGCAGTTTAATGATATATCGATATATAATATTAAATATATTTAAATATCTTATTTCCTTAAAAATTTTACAAACGATATATTATGTTATGGGTCAATGTATTTTTTTCCGGCAATGTGATATTTTTTTCAACTTTAAATCATTTTTTGAGTGCGTTTTTAAAAAATTTAAATATCTGATTTTACCTAAATTGTATTTTATCATGTTTGGAATACCTACCTATGAATTTCCGATAATTTTTCCATGAACTTTTAACCTTAATATAATTTTTATTAGATTTTTCATATATAAATTGTAAATGACTCAAAGGTTAATATCAAAATTGTCTATAATTCATAAGATAGGTATTCCAAACATGATAGAATATATTTCTGGTAAAATCCAATTTTTAAATTTAAAAAACACGCCCAAAAGATGATTTAAAGTTGTAAAAACAACACATTACCGGAAAAAACACATTGACGCTAACATATACATAATTAAACTGCAAATTTGATGGTGATTCATGATACATATAATTTTATATATATTTTTTAAAAAGTAAATATTATATATCTATATATTGCAATTTAATGAATGAGGATTCTAAATATGGAAATATATTAATGTTGTAACCGTTATTTCAAAAATGAAACGCGTTACTCGTTGCATCGAAAAAAGGAATGCGTTACCGTTATCTGTTACTTGTGAAAAAAACTGGCTATTCAAAAAAGTAATGCGTTACTAGAAAAATAAATATTATATATAAAAAGTTCCTAAATATAATATAAATAAAATTCAAATATAATAAGATAAGATATTTTCATAATAATTTATTTATTTTTAAGAAGAATTGATTTTCAAAATTTTGATCAGACAAGAGAGTGCTCAACACATCTTTGTCGTGCTAAACACACGTTTAATTGGCACAGAAGATGGGAGGGTATTATATTTAATAAATAATTTTAATTGGGGAAATTTATTAAAAATTAAAGAATATTCTTATTTTGAAAAAAGCTTAATAGATCATCTTCAAAAAAATCTTCATTCAGATCCTCATTAATTTTTTTTATCAGAAAATAATCAGGTATGTGTGTTGTTTTTTAAAGGAATTAAAGTTGCTTTTTCTTTGTCAAAATATTCTCTCAAACTGGAAATAGGTTCAAGCCTTCTACCTTTTTTGGCCTATAATTTTACCAGGGATAATCTAATTTATAAGTAGCGGGTGAATTATTGCTGATAGTATATTCATCTTTATAGATGTGTTCGAATCTATTGAAAATAAATATAATCAAAATATAAATTGCAAACAATTTTTGCACAATATACCTTATCTATGTCTTGAAGGATTGTTGAAATTATTTAAAGCAATTTTTTTAAGTATAATAATAGTTATGGTGGGAGTGAGATATTCCAAATGTACTAAAATCGAAAAAGCAGTAGCAACAATCATATTTTTTTAATTAACATTATCAACAAAATATATATGAACGACCTGTCATTATATGAAAATCTCTGTTCGGATTTATCCAAGGTTCGTGAAATTGGTTATTCTCCTTAATAAGACTATTAATTTCACAGAGTTATAAAAAGGTTCCATCTTGTTATAATCGGTTTAATCAGATATATTCCTTTTTCCCTTAAAAATGGCTGCATTGTTTTGAGACGGCCCATATTTATTCCACAATTGAGGAAATATTTGAGTTGGGACCCAATTTTACAAAGTGTAGATTTTGTACCCTTAATTTTTTTATTGGTATAAAAAATGTTTCATATTGAAACAAGGGAGGTTAAATCATTTTCATCTGAAGAAATATGTACAATTGACATAATATTATTTATAAATAAATTTTAATATTAGAGACTAAAAATATAAATTAACATATCTGTATTGATTTAATATTAATTAGAAAAAACAATCTTGACTGAGAATTTAAAAACGAAAATTTAAAATAAAAAGAAATGAATTTTGGTGGTTTATTTGACTAAGCTCGGCTTAAATTATATATAAAATTTAAATAAAAAATTTTAATTAACGAGCAATGTTCTGCTTTATCGTTACTCAAAAAAAAGAAGGCGTTACCGTTACTCGTTACCTGTGGAAAGTAACAAATGACATTACCTTTTTGACGTTATTTTACAACACTAATATTTATTAAATGCTCAATTATCTAATTGCAATTGCAATCTTTAAACTGTAAGTTTTTTATCAACAATTTTATTTTTTACATTTTCGTAATTTTGGCTAAATATTTTCTAGATTTTTTTCATTTTCGTGAATTTGGCCAAATATTTATTATATTATTTTTTTACATTTTCGTGATTTTGGCCAAATATTTTCTATATTTATTTTACATTTTTGTGATTTTGGCCAAAACGTTCAATATCTATTCTAGATTTTGGGGCAAACGGAATCTAACTCATATTAAGATAAAATGCTAAGTATGGCTTACCACTTTTGGGAGCAGAAATTAAGCTTGGGTCAATATGTAATGCTTAAATAATATGCTAGCGCCAATGTGTTTTTTAAGTCAATGTGTTATTTTCAACTTAAAATAATTTTTGAGGGCGTTTTTAAAATTTAAAAATCTGATTTTACCAGAAATGTATTATAGCACGTTTATAATACCTATCCTATAAATTGCAGACAATTTCGCCGTTAACATTTGAAATTTATAATTTATATAAAAAATCTATGAAATAACTAATAATATTTTATTAAATCCAAAAGTTCATAGTAAAATTAACCAGATTTTTAGATTTTATAAAAAAGGAAATATAAAAATTCTTAACAATATTCAAGATAGATTGAAGAATCTAGAAGCACTAGAACAATTATAATAATAAATAAAATATAAAAAAATTACTATCGTTATGCGGTAGCATAAATAAGTAGTCATAGATTTGTAATCATTGAAAAACGTGACAAAAATAAGATGGATTGGTTGATGAAATTGAAAAGATTTCTTACCCTCAAGCGAGTAAGTTAAGTTTAATAAAATAATACTACTAAATGCCCTTTTCAATTGAAAATACACATGAATAAACACCGATTTCATACCAATTGCTTCTTTCTGGGAAACATCCCGATTTAAATTTTTTTAAATATAATTAATAACAATTTCTATATGTGAAAATTTGATTATAAAATAAAATTAAGATTTTTAACCCACTACTTTTTTAATTAGAAGAAGAAATTTCTGAAATTATTTTATATAATTAAGACAGGATTTAATCAATTTAAAAGGAACGAAAGCAAATTTTCGTTTAGATATCAATATAAAAGTATTTAAATAAATTTCTACCTAATCTGTCCCCCTCCCCTTAGTGTTTACGCCACTGGACAGGAGGTAAGATTTTATATAAATACAATCTTTAGGCTTTATACATTCTTTTACTCTATGAATTGTACATGTTCCATGAACATTTAAGTATTTTTATATCAACATTAAAAAAATAAATATAAATAAAAAGTAATTCATAAGTTGAAGGTGAAATACAGTTCTGGTAACATCAAATTTTTCAAATTTAAAATCCCCCTCTTTAAATGATTTAAAGAAACTCCAAGTTCTCACCTATTCAAAATAAGCTAACGACATATATAATATTAATTTTTTATTTCAAATAAAGAATTAGCATACCCGAGTTTGGATTAGTGAGAATGGAAAAATGGGACTTTCTTGAAGAGCTTGATTGGCTATATGGAGGAGAGAGATCAATAGATCTTCCTTTGCGATTTTTTGGAGGGTATAAAGCATTCCCTTAACAAAACAATTTCAAAATTATATGACAATAAATTAGCTAAAATAAAATAAATTTTAGTTGAGCCATACTAAAGCATGTGTAAATATTATAATGGCATATTTAAGCAAGATAACTAACATTTTATAAATTTCAGCTTTTTAATCATAGTGTCCTTTTCATCAAACAATTTTCTTTTCAAAAACGAATCTAGGAAAATAATTCCCCGGGAAAATATTCCAGCTTTTTAAGATATTACAAAATTAATAAAATAGGATAAAAATTCCCTATAAATATATCCATGGAATAACTCAAATAATAAATTTAAAAATTTTGAGAAAATCAATTCCGGAGAATTATTTTCTAAGAAATAATATTGGGGATTTTTTTTTCTGGGAATTATTTTCCGCTTACCTTCAAAAACATAGTTCTCTCGTCTAATTAGCATTAAAAAAATGATACTGTTTGAAAATATCGTTAAAAATGTATCTAAAAATTTGAAAACAACATCGAGCATATTATGAAAAAGTGCATAAGCTTTAGATTTTGTGTTATCTTGTATACAGCTTACATTTAACAGCCATCTAATGTACTGACCAAATATAAAACAAATTAAATAAGCGATGCAATTAGTATTACGAAGTACAAAAACCTTAATTTAAAAGAAATGGATTCTCACAAGATATCGAGGGAATCCATTTGTTTTTATACATTTTAAAAGGGTAGGTTATCATTTTTTTTGGATCATATGGTTTTTCTGTAGATAATCTACTAGATATACTATTAACATTACTAAAATTTAATAATTCAACTGGTTTCAATTTACAAGGGTTAGGGGCATTATTGAAATTACTATCAAAATTATCAAATTGCCTATCACTCAATCTATGAGGCTGTTCATGCAAATATTTATTCAAATAGGTTGGAAATTTAATACATGTTTCCAAGTCTTTATTATGCTTTTGTTGATTATAATAGTGCAATATTTGCTGAAGAAGTACTATAGTTTCACGGCGAGGGATTAAAGATGTTCTTAAAGATTTATAATGGGTTGAAATTCTATCGGATATTTGATAACAAGCTTTTTCACTTAAACTATTATGTCTAATCCCATCTTTTGATAAAAAATTGGTATTAATATTCTCGAATCGTTTGTTTTTTCTAGAAAAATCTAATCCAGGACTACTGTTAAATTCCATCTCAAGCTTACTACTTTCATATTTTTCATCTAAACCATTCTTAATTTTAGAATTTGTTGATTTTGAATATCTTACTATTTTATTTTTGTTAATTTTGGCTTTTGTTTCATATATTTTGTCATTAAATCTATCATAAAAAAGTTCGTTGAGGTCATTTGTAGAATATATAGATTTTCTATTTCCTAGGCTAAATCCAGAAAAAGGTGTTTGAATAGAATCAAAGGAAGGTGATATAACAGGGACTAAGAAAGTTTGTGAGGCATTTAAAATTGCTCCTGCAAGAACGGAATCTAATTTTTCTCGCTGATATTTCAAAATACACGTGTCATTTTTATTCAAACTGCAACATAGATGTGATAAAATAAAAGATGCTAAATCATCTTCATGTTTATTATTAATTAGCTTGTTATGAATTGATACTGATTCTTGAGAGATAGTTTTATTAGTATGCATATATTTTTCAATATCGTTACCTCTTGCTACTTCAATGTGGCTAATGGAGTGATGGACATTCAGTTTTATAAGTTCTCTATAAATTTTGCACTCTACATTATGTTCTTTATCTTTCAGTTTAATTTTGTCCCATTCATAGTTATTTTCAACTATGTGTTCCTGTTTTCTATACCAGGGTTTATCCTTAGATAATGAATAACTTATCTTCTCTTTCCAAATCTTATTATTAAAAAAACTTTCTTTATGAATTGAAATTCTTCTTTCATTGAGAACAACACTATCTAAAAAATAGATTTATAAGTAGAATCTTATTAAAATAATTATATTAAAGGACTACCATCCTTTTCCGGTTCAGCCTGAGTATGCTCATCAATCATCTTTATAGATGGAGGCGGGGTTTTAACAAATGATAAAAATAAATGCCGACAGAGCTGATCTGGAGCTTGAGTTTCAAGATAATTATCCATAAATATCCTAAAAACTTCATAAGTGATAGGCTAAAAATAAAAAGGTGTTATAAAATGAAACCTCTATTAATAATACTTCTTCAGGATTGTATTTATTTAAAACTCCGCCAGGTTTAAATATCTCCAGTACATCTTTGACTTTTCTGTTGGAATCTTATTAAAACAAAATAAATAGGCATGAAATATATTGATATAAAAGTTAAAGTAACAAGTTAGATTAAAAATAACAGTAACTAGTTACTTTTGATGTAAATAAACTGTAATTCACCATTTTATGAAATTTAATGAAGAGGTAACGAATTAATTTTATAATATGTTGACTAATTATATAATCATATTCATTATTTTAACGTGAGCTCCGAGAAGTTGGTCTAGATTGGAAGCACTAACGATGAATCTCATGCCATTTATTAGTGCTTCGTTAGTATTTCAATCCGTATAGTAGCCGAAGTTTAGGAAAAGAATTTATAAGCAAAAATAAAAATTTTGGCCAACTTCACGCTTAAAAGTCAATTGAAAGCACTGATGAAGAATTTATACAATTCTTTAATGCTGCGTTAATAGAGGATAGTGTTTTACACTTTTGCAGCTGAAATTAAAAATAAAAAGTAAAAATTTATTTGCGAAAAAAATAAACAAATAATTATGTGCCAAAAAAAACTATATAGACAATATTTAATACTTGAATCTAAATTCCGTTATAGTTATAAGCTAATAAAAGTTATGACGTCATTAGGCGTAAAGTTCAAACGATTGGAAGTACTAAAGATGAAACTCATGTCATTCTTTAGTACTTCGTAGGTTAATGCTTCAATCAGTTAAGTAGTCGAAATTAAAATAAAAAAAGTTATTAAAGGAAATATCAAATATTCAAAATATGGCGGCTTACCGAAAAAATTATAGTAGTACTAAACATCTGGATTTCGCTATTATTTAGTGCCTGATTAGTAATTTAAAATTCCGTAATTAATTTGATTAGCCGTAATATAAAATAAAAATTATAGGCTAAATAAATGTTATGACGACGATTTAGGCGTGAAGTTGGCCGAACGATTGAAAGCACTAACAATGAAACTTACATCATTCCTTAACTCTACTTTAGTAGAGGTTAGTGCTTTAATTAGTTGTAGCCCAAATTAAAAAATTACTAAGTAAATAAGCAATAAAAGAGCGCAGTGACCGATCCAAATTTGAATGCGATACTACTGAACTCATGTCGGTCGTATTTGAACTCTCTCAGACTAATTCCTATATTTATTTATAAATTTATTTCGGATTTTTGTACTAGTATATAGACATAATTTAAATTATTTTCCTAATTGTAAACATTCTTTCTATAAATAAGAGAAATTTTTCATTTTCCTTTGGGGTTTAGAATTCAGTCGCTTTCATTGATTCTATAGTGAGACACGGAGATGTTCATATTGGTAATGTTAATAAAAAATATCAAAACAATTATCGGTGTATATGGAATTTATTTATAGACACCAGACGATAGGACAAATAAAATACTTTATTATTTTTTTAACGGCCATTGGTTACTTTATTTGAATAGTAGCTGATATAATATGTTATCAAAAGACAATAGCATATAATTAATTTTCTCTAAGATAAAACTGATAAAGGTAAAAAATAGAATTTATGAAAAAGGATAAGGGATAAAAAAAATGAAATTTAGGAGAGAGAGAGAGAAGGGAAGAAAGAAAGCATAGACATAGAAGATTATCGACGGAAGAATAAAACTTAGATAGTTAGAGCGAATAATGGCGGTAGCAAGTCTTTGTCGTAAGAATAGGGATTCCTTAGGCTGGTCGGGTTTTTCACTAGTCCTTTTGTCTTTTTGCCTAATATTTTGAAAAAACATTGAGCTTTGCTATCGAAGGTGTTGAGAATGGAGCAGGCGATGAGTATGAATAAGAAAGAATAATTTATGAAACTGTATTTGATGATTTTCCGGGATTCTGTGAGGGCAAGGGCATCGACGTTGTGGTTAGATTGTGCGTTTCGATTAGTGCAGGTGAAGTCTCAAACCAGGAGCTGACTCCTTTACTAAGGAATCAAGGACATTCCATCAGGACGTTTTCCATCGGTTCTAAAAATGGTTGGTTAAAGTCTAGATGAAATGCCTGCGGTATGAGGGCACATAATATGATGTCATTACATTGTGCCGAGGAAAAAGGTCTCGACAAAAGCGGCAATGTCAACTCTTGCGATCAACGCTGGTTTTGCAATGTTTACATTGGTACGGTAGAACAATTTCGAAATTGAGCCGTAGTCCAATAGCAAATATTAGCTCGTCGGAAAGCAGCAAATCAAGGTTATTAGAGGGTATGGTTTCCAGAAACTCGTAACTAGATCCTTGGTTCAATTGTTGAAAAACTGTGTGATCGTCATAATTACATTTTTACAAATACAAAGGGGAAAAAAGCTTATTTGTATAAACAAAAAAAAAAACTATAATACTCTACGAATAATAAAAAAACATATGCGTCGTAGACCTTTAACTAAAAATATTAAAAAGATTATAGAATTACGCCATCCTACCAGTAAGACTGAGGTGCAATCATGGAAATAGGTGGGGAGTTCAAATAGAATGATGATCACATAAACTTTTATAAATTAAAGGAACAAATTAACAAAGAGCATATTTTAGTTTATTTCAACAATAAACAGATATCATACTTACAGTAGATGCTTCTGGAACAGGAATAGTTGCATTATTTTTTTTGTGAAATTATAAAGGCGTAGAGATACATTATTTGGTCATTGAAAGGCTTTAGAGGTCATTCGGACTTACCAGTCGATCTGTTTGGGAAAATTAGCTGGTAAAAATTTGACCTCAAAACATTTTTAAAATTATTTTTTCATATGACAGTTAACCAAATTAATAATTAAATTTAAATATATTAATCAAGAACTAAATAATGATGAAAACAGGATGTTTGTCGTTGTCCAGATTTTGTTGATGTGGCACCGTTTTTTTGTTTATTTTAATTTCGGCTACTAAACTGATTAAAGCACTAATTTCTACTAACGAAGTGCTAAATAATGATAAAAGTTTCATAGTTAGTGCTTCTAAAATATATTTGGCAAAAACTTTACCTCTAATCTAGCGTATAACTATTTTTCCATATGGCGGTTAACCAAATTAATTAAGTAATCTGAATTTATTAATTAAGCACTAAATAGTGGCAAAAATCGTATGTTTAGTGCTGCCATAGTTTTAAGGAAAGGAAAGGAAAGGAAAGGAAAGGAATCGTTTGGCCAACTTCACATTTAAATATGTCATTATTTAGCCTATAAATTTTTTTATAAGGCCAAATAATTAGGGAATTTAAATTTAATAATTAAGCACTAAATAATGAAGAAAACTGGATGTTTATTGCTACCATTGTTTTTTTGCTGGTCCACAATATTTTGTTCATCTATGTTATTTTCTTTATAACTTTTTTATTTTAATTTCAGATATTTAACTGACTGAAACACTAACCTACTAAGCAGTAAAGAATGATATTAGTTTCATCCTTAGTGTTCACAATCGTTTGTTCAACTTCACGTCTAAATTATGACGTCATGACTTTTATTTAGCTTACAACTTTTTTTATAAGGCAGTTATCCACATTAATAACGGAATTTAGATGTATTAATCATGTACTAAATATTGGCAAAAACCAAATGTTTAGTGCTTTTATAGTTTTTATGAAAAACTAATAAAGCATTAAAAAATAGTATAAGACTCATCGTTAGTGTTTCCAATCGCTCGATCAACATTTCCCAAATTTAAAATTAATGCATAATGTAATAATTACCTACATCAAACGTTCCTTTAGAACGTTTGTTTGGGGTAGGTAAACTTTATTAGAGAAAAACTAGCATGACTCTTAGGCACCAATTTTGAAAATGATTATTTGTTAAAGTCAAATAGAAATTTATTAAGCTAAATTTTTTTTAAAATAAATATTATATAAAATATCCATAGCAACTTGCAATATAACAAGTTACTTTTGAACAGTAACGGTAACTTTACATTTATTTAACTTGTAATGGTAATTAGTTACTTTTCAAGAGTAATTTTTAACAATACTAAAAATATAAATTCAAATACTTTGTAATAAAATAAAAGTATTATTTAATCTTAAAGGTAAATAATATAAAAATAGAAAATAAATCATACATGATAAATACTCTTGTAATTGACAAAATTCCCTTGGAGACAATTTTGCCCATTTGTTCTGACTATCCATTTAGAATATATGCAATCATCATATTTTATATTTAGTTGTATTAGTTCTCGTCATTTCTTTTATAAAACATTATTGATTTCTAATCTAACGACATATTTTCAACTATGACCATATCTAAAATATTAAAAAATACAAAAATTATTTTGAAGTAATCTATCATAAAAACTATGAAATCATAAAAAATTCCTATTATGTTTCGATATATTATAATATCATCATCTAATATATTTTCAAAATAAAAATAAAATAGGCATTATTTTAAACAATTTAATAAAAGGTAATTTTTGGCAATATATATTGAAGTGATCTTTTAATTTTGTATATTTAATGAATATTATTTTTGTGCAATCAAAATCTTCAGGTTTGCGTAATATTTTACTGGATAATATATTGGGTTATCCGCTTTAAAAATTGAGCCGTTTAACACCATCACAGTAAGTACTACCTCTAAAATGATTAGATAGGTGTTGGCCCTTCTTAATATACATAGGGAATTATTAAGAAGCACTGATAAAATCATTGAAAAATATGCTCAATCCCAAGAATATTGAATCTTACGTTATAAAAATATGCTTCTTAATTATTTTTTACTATTTTTACTAGAATTGTTAGGCTCGATTTGAGCCGATTTTTAAAAACGGCTAACTCAATATTTTATCCAGAAAAATAAGCCAGAAGATTTGGCTCCTAGATGGCACAAAGGCTGAATACCCATTAGCAAAATCTCGAGGTTTATGCATTGTTTATCTGGGTAAAATATTGAGTTAGCAGATTTAAAAAATTGACCGAAATTGAGCAGTATAACAACACTAATTTTTAGTTACACTATATTCTCTTCATAAATATTTTGGAAATTTATACATGCAATAATTTTTAAGAATATTTATGCGCATTAATCTATGCTAATATTTTTTTTATTTATAATTTAAATTTATATCTCAAATTTATATATTTAAAAAATTAATCCTTTTTTTACAATGTCCTTTTTCGAGACATATATTTTATGATTCATACGCCGATTATATAGTGGAGACCGAGGATGGTTGGGACATTTTTCATTCAAACCTGAATAAATTCAATAATATTATACTAATCTGAATAAGTAAAAAACCGTCTGTATCCTGAAAGTATAAGTTATTTGATTAATATATATTTTATAAAAACCATAAAAAAAATTGACATACTCAGAGTATGTTGGGACACACATATGTGATAGTTGGTTCACTCATAAAATAGAGGTCTAAATAAATTAAAAATCGGTAATCCGTAAAACTAGAGACTATGACACATTTAATTTAATTTTATTGATAATATTGTAATACATAACAAATAAGTATTAATTTGGATGCGTCTAAAAAATATATAATTATATAAATGATAATACAAGTAAATAATGATAAATTTATGACTGAGGTATTCGGATATAAATTTAATGGTTTGCCTTCTGTAAAGATGATGCTTCTCTCCTTTTTATTGTAAGTTCGCATAACTAGTAAAGGTAGAATAAATTAAAATGTAGTGTTCCAACGATACTAAGACCAACCATGATCAGCCCACTAACTATAAATAGCATTCTAAATCATATTAATTCATATTTATTGATTCTGAAAATTTATCAGATTAAAAAATAGGGTTTAAACTTTTCAAAAATTTATTTATTAAGATTCTAAAAGTTATTTATTAAGATTCTTAAAGTTATTTATAAAAATAAATGATAAAGTTTGCAATTATTTTTTACTAAGTATGCTAAAACCATTTTCTTCTATAAAAATTAAAATACTAAATATTTATTAGCCACTCATGTATGACGTAATTATCTATGATAGTTTAAAATTTCTAGACTTATAAAATAATAGCTCAAATTATAATTGAAGTGAATGTTTCCCTGTACTCAATGACCCATGTCTACCCTACATTTAATATTTTATAATTAATTTATATTTGAATGTGTGTATTAGAAATTGTCAATATTTTATTCACTAGTAGTGTTGTTAAATAGCTCGATTTGAGTTTATTTAAAAACGGCTAACTCAATCACAAATATATTGTTTAAGCCTTGATATTTCACTAATAGATGTCTAAACTTTTGTACTATCTATGAGCAAAATATTAAGGCTTGCGTTATATTTTCTGGATAAAATATTGTCGCTGTTTTTTAAATTCGGCTTAAATCGAGGTTCTATAACACTACTATTCTTAATAAATTTATCCCCCACCACAGCCAATTCCTGCGTACGCGCCTGAATTCTACAATATCATTTTCCAACGAAATTTTGTTGCTGCCTGTGTCAAAATTCACTACCATATCAATCTCTATTAGTGGAATTTTATATTATAAATAACTTGATAAATTAAATTAATAATGCAGATTTTGAAATATAAATTCCAAAATTAAATAAAATATAAAGATAATAATTTTGAAATTAATTAGAAAATTATAAATAAACTTTGGTATTTTTTTATAGTGTATAAAAAATTGAAAGTAGCGAAATAACGCGCCACTTAACTATTTTTTAAAAAGGAACGCTACAGATGTCTAAAAAGTAGGGGGCTATAGCTAACGCTGAAGGTTGCGCGATACTACAACACTAACTGACGAAAATCTCTTGATAGCTAGCGAATGTATAACTCACTATCAAGCAGACCCTTAGAGCACGAGAAGGGAGGGAGGGGGTATGACGCAAGATCTTCATTCAAATAAAATAAGAGTTGGTATGGCTTTTCTAAGATTGATACAATGCATTAATGTCCTGAATGGGATTATCCTATTTGTTTCAATTTTATGTGATTTTTTTTTAAACATATTATATTAATTACAATTCTGAGATTTATCAATTAATAAATGAAAATATAGATATAAATAAATGCCTTATATTTTTATTTAAAATTAATAGTTTATTTTGATGGTTACTTTAAATTGGGTTCAACAATTAAAATATAAAACCCATGATAAATACTTAAAAATACAATCACACTAAAAATAAATAAATCCTAAAAGATATTAACTATTTTATTGATTTCTACTTTATCTATCTTTTATGATAAGCATAATAATCCAATAAGCCTATGTAATACAACAATCTAAAATAAATTATTAACAGGTTACTTTATAATATTATGTAAAATAATAAATATTACTAGTGTTGTAAAAGGCCCGATTAGGATTTTATCCATATTATTTTGGATAAAATCCTAATCGGCCCATTTTAAAAATCTACGTTCAACAATACTAAATAAAACAATCAAGTGTATCTTTAAATTAGAACTTGTAGATTTTGAAAGTGATATAATACTTTTTAGACACATTTTACATTTAATAAGGATTTTAAAGTATTTATTAATTTAGCCCATGGTAAATCAGAATCAGATTATTTTAATGAAATAACAACATCAGTGGAGGCAGCTAGGGGAGGCACAGGGGCTCAAGCCCCCTGAAAAATTTGAATAGCCCCCTGAAGCAAAAAATTTTTTTTTAATGGCTTCTTAATATCCTCTTGAACTAAAAATAAATTTTTTTGATTGCCCCCTGAATGATTTTTTTTATAATTCCATTAAGTAATATATAGATTTAATTTTATTATATTATTTAGAAATTAATAAGACTATTTAAATTTTTATTAAATGAATACTATTTTAATTATTAGATTAGATCAATACATATAACTTATATTTTCATGTCAGCTTGCAATCAACTTCTGTATTAAAAATATAATATCAATAACTAACTAAATATTAATTTAGCTTTAACAGTTGAAGTTTAGACTTTTATTATTTAAATTATTATATAACCCTAATTAAATAAATATAATCATATATTGTTTGAAAATTAACAAATTTAAGTAATTAGCCAAGTTCAAAATGACTAATCAAATGTATATTTATTTTTAAATTTTATTATCATACCTATTCCTAAAAATATTTTCAAGGTCCAAATAAATATAAGAGATTTTTTTATAAAAAGTTAGTAAACATATAGTTTATAATCTTCTACTATATACAGTTATTTATAAAATATTAGATAAAATGTCACTTTTATAGACGTATTTGACAGTTATATAAGATATTACAGTTAATATTATAATAAATTTTACTAATAAATGGTTTTGATAATAAACATAGTAACAATATGCCTACAAGTATTTAACGTCATCTATTTATTTAAAAATAATTTTAAAAATTAAACATTTTATTATTCATCTTGCAATAGATGTAATAAATTAGATATCCTCTTTCTTCTCTTTTTTTACGTCTTTTTAGGAAAGTTATTTTTTTCTTTTCGAAAAACAGTTTTGAGTTAAATTTTTAATACAAATATATTTTTGATATTATTACAAACTATATTATTTTAAGATATAATATACAAAGGTGGCGCGACAATATATAAAATCTTAATTGTTTCATCATATTATTCTGGTCCTTATTTTATAGTTACAAAATGTTTCATCGATAATAGGGCATAATTGCTGTGTAAATAACTAAAGGCTTACATAATTTCTTATAAAGATTTTTAGTGTTTTATTTTCAATTTATCTAACATAATAAATTCTGATATGAGTTAACATTGTGAGTGTCATAGCTATGACTGCAAATTATCCAGCATCTATTATTTGTGTGGCTATGTAAGTTAAAGTTATTACTACAGCTGCTGAGAGCATATGATTACATATTTTAGATAAGCAATAATGGTCAACTGTGTTATCGTTTATATATCATTAAAAATGAAAGATAATATAATGGAAGTTTAATATCACAATAATTTTCTCAATTACTTATCTAGCTTCCAACATGTCATTTAAGTGGAAGCTCTAACCATCATATAGTTTTATGATTTGGATTGGTCGTTTATAATCTCTTCTTTAAGAATTATTGATTTGGTTAGGCCTATAAATTTTTCCTTATTAGTCTATTCTATAAAACATTATCTAAAATAGGAGTTATATTAGTTTCATGACCTTGTCAATGTAAGTTGCTAATAATTATATTTTATATTATGTGATTTTACCATTATCAATTGAGGCATATGTAGGTATTAATTAATCTTTTTTATTACTTGTAATTCTTTAGACGCAAATTTTTTTTATATCAGCAATCGAAAATATTTTATACTGTAATAA